GGTTCGAGGTATCTTTTGCGAGCCATCCGCCATGGCAGGTGGGTGAAAGACCCGAGCTAACATGGGGTTAGCTCGTTAAATTACAATAAAGCCTCGTGCAGTTTTTGCAGCAAGCTCTCGAATCAGCCTGGTGATTGGGGTGACCGTGAACCTGGCCTGGGACGCCGGATACTTGAGTTTTCCGGGGGTCAAACATATCCAATATATGTATAATCATCTCAACACAATGAATGACACTCTGAGCCAAGTGTGTTTTTGTAATTTTTTTAATAGCTAATTCTGTGCACTTTTAGATACATTTACAACAATTCCAGGTTTCCGGTTTCCCCAGGCTAAGCCAATGTGGGGGCTCATAGGATAGCAGTTGAGAGACAGACATCCCTGGGCTGTCAGCCATATTGGCCCCAACCAACCTCAGGTGATGGTGGTTCCATGTGTCCTGCTGGCATGGGGCTGGAGGAGGAGCCTCAGGAGTCAGGCTTCCTTCCTGATTCCCTTCACAGTTATGGAGAGTGGCCTTCTGGTGAGGCTGGTGTGGAGGAGCTGCAGAACCTAAGTGAGCAACAGTCCTCGCTCTTGCTGACATACGTGGTCTCGTTTTCTAACCATCTCTTGTGCCAGCAAGAGCCGTGCTCTTCCATCTGTTGTCACCTCTGCCCAACCAGGATCCAGAAGAGCAAACAGGCTCAGAGCTAGAGGAGGCAAGTCGGGTCCCCCCAGGAAGCAAGGACAGGGGCCAGGACCCCCACCCCCCCTCCTCTTGTATGTCAATGTCCTTCCTCTAGGCTGAACACTTTGGGACCACGGCACAGAAGGAAAGAGGACAGAGACGGATTAGAACACAAGCCAGTGAATTTGACACACTGCCTGTTTCTGCACGGCTCACAAGCTAAGGATATTTCAAGTCTTTTTCTTTTCATATTTATTTTGTTTTATGCGTATTGGTGTTTTGCCTGCATGCACGTCTGTGTGAAGCTGTTGGATCCCCCCGAAACTTCGGTTGCACACAGTTGTGAGCTGTCATGTGGGGCTGGGACTTTAATCTTGGTTCTCTGGAAGAGCAGCAGCCCTTTGGTTGCTCTTAACAGCTGAGCCATCTCTGCAGCCCCGTTTTGTGAATTTTTAAGTGGTGGTAGAGAAAAAGGGAATAGGCTATGACACATGAAAATTACATGAGATTCAAATAGGGTATTCTGCCCTAGCTCAAAGACCCCTCCCCTTCCTCCCCTTCCCTTACTTAGGGGCCTAGAAGTCCAGAGAGGCAGGAGCAGTCCAGTCTCAGAAGAGGACCCTTGCAGACACTCACCACGCTCTGCACCCAATCTTGATCTCTATTGGCTGAGCCGAGTGGGCTCCTCATCCTCAGCACCATCTGCAACACCATCTTGGGAGTATGAGCAGCTGAAACACAAGGTGAAAGCCCTGGTCTTCATCAGTGCCTCCCAGCCCACTGCTCCCATCCCTGCCTCCCAGCCCTTTGCTGTGCACCATCCCCAGCATTTCTCTACGGGTCCCTTTCTGCTCTGAAGTCTCCGAGTAGGTCAAGCGCATGACCATAGCTAGAGACTGGAGGGGCCCACCACATTCCCCCATCTGGGCTCTCACCACCAGCCTCTCGCTGTGGGACCTTAAAAAGGCTCGGAGGAGAGCATTAAGCAGCAAGGTGCCTGGGAGAAGCCAAGCTGAGAGGAATATGAAAACACTTTGGCCATGAAATGCATAGACTACAGGATTATCAGAGACTATATCGCCATCCGATCCACATCGCCGGCCACCATGGAAAGGACAGGCTTGCCTCTGTCAGTTACAGGATCCAGCTGTGCCACGGGTGGAAGTGAGCCTGCATGCAGGTCACCAGGGTTGCAGAGAGCCGTGTAGTCTGGGCAGCAGTCTGAGAGCACACGGCAGAATTCATCGCAATAGCAGCTTCCGTTTTTGCAGTGGTAATCTGTTCCGGGGCAGCAGAGGGGCTGGGGCTGGGAACAACTGCCTGGAGGAAAGAAGATAATTAAATAGACAGAGACTGAGCAAATTGTCCCAGTTGTACAGGGACAACTGGATGTGCACAGCAAAAAAATGGAGTCCTACCTCGCACTGTATACAGAGAAGTGGTTCAAGGTGGCTCACAGACCTGACTGTAAGACCAAAACCATGAAGCTTTGAAGGGAACAGCTGCAAGAGGAAGATATGCTTGCCACTCTCTTTGTCAACTGTTTCCTTCATCATCTCCCTAAGTTGCTCCACTCAGTGACTGTCTGCTTACTAACCCACACGTATATCAGCACATCTTTTCTAAGAGGTGGAGAAAACAAAGCCTGGGCAGTAAGGATGGAGGGATCAATAACCAGAGAGTCAGTTCTGGGAAAGGGCCCCAGATGTCTTAATGCTATTTATTCTCTCTTTCCTTCTCAATTGATTTCTGGTAGCTTAGCACCTGCCTGGGGCCTTGTTTAAGGATAAACTTGAGGCCTTCCAGCGTTGACAGGGTCAACAGAAGCAGGCCTTTGAAAGGATGCAAGGCCAGCTAATGTGTTGTGAAAATAGGGCTCTCATGAAGGATCTGGTGGCTTGGGACATCTCAAGGTGAAGCTGGGCTGTGCCAGCAGCCTCTGAGCTTGCCTAGCTTCCACCTCACAAACAGCTCAGGGAACAGATGATCTGTCTCCATCTCGTGTTGCCCGTCTTCCCGAGTACCTGGCTTGGCATCCAACATCAAGGATCAGGGAGGAGTGGGAGAAGCCATCCAAATTAAGCTTGGCTTTGTTTATGAATCAAAGATAATTCAATGGCACCAGTGTTTACTTTAGTGGGATAGGACAGGATGAGATGAGATGGGATGGTACCAAACTAAATTAAATCTAATTAAATAGACCTGCATACCTTATATAGAACAAGAATTTTGCCTTCAAAATTGTCTTAACTACACATAGAAGGAACTAGCACAGAACAATTCATGGTTATAAATATGGACTTGAAAGTCCCTGGTCTAGAGAGATGCCCTCATTCTATAGATAGAGGACAGGAATGCCCCCAAGGCCATGCTTGAGGTGGCCACAAAGCTGGAGAAGAAGCACTGTTCTGGCTTTCCCCTTCCTGGCTTCCCCAGGCTTACTAACCCCTGGAGTGACACACAGGTGCCTGTTGTTTATGCCTCCAAACACCCTGCCTGCACCCACCTCTGAGCCTTGGCGTATTCAATGCCATCAGCCTTGGAGGTCTGACCCTTCCAAATCCATTGGAAGAAAATATTCTAACGTATCAACATCACTTGAACCCAGCATTCCTTCAGCACTACAGGAAGATGCAGTCACGACATTTTCAGGGGGATGGATGGGACTGGAGAGCGCTATGCTAAGTGAAGAACCCCAGACTCAGAAAGACAAAGATCATATGTTTTCTCCTCCGTGCTGAGCCTAGATTTTAGAGATTATGTATGCGCATAGCGGCATGCTAGTCTTGAAACTAGAAAGGGCACCATGGGGGTAGAGGGAAAGAAGTTCTAAGGAAGGACTGAGGAGGGGAGGAAAGAGAGAATAATGAATGGGAAAATAGAATGCATGTGACAGGAAGGCAGAAGGGTGAGGAGAGGAAGGGGACTCACAAGACGGAGACAAGGAGCTGGAGAGGCAAAGAGAAGATCAATGAAAATGAAGTTTGTTTGAAAATGCCATAATGAGACCTCTATACTTTATATACTACAAAGACAAATGAGCCCAGGCTTCCCCAGCTGCTAAAGAGCTAGATCATTACTGTGACAATGTTCAGTGACTGGAAATGTAGCTCACTGGGCTTGCGTTACTTGGGCATGGTGACATGTCTATAATCATAGCACCCAGGAAGCTGAGGCAAGAAGAGCCTGAGTTTAAGACTGACTTGGACCACGTGGGGGAGGGAGGGAGGGAGGGAGGGAGGGAGAGAGAGAGAGAGAGAGAGAGAGAGAGAGAGAGAGAGAGAGAAGGTGGGGAGGCTAGAAAGATAGCTCAGTGGTAAAGAGCACTTACTGCTCTTCCAAAGGTCTTGAATTTGGTTCCCAGCTCCCATATCAAGCAGTTCAGGACTGTAACTCCAAATCCAGGGAGACCCCACATGCCTCTAGTCTCTATGGGCACCAGCACTCACTTGCGTGTACATCCACACATAGACATACATACATACATGTAGGTAAAAATGAAGTCTTAAAGGAAGGAAGGAAAAAACAAAGGGAGAGGAGGAGTGAGTTGAAAAAAAAATCAAACAATGTAGCCAGGTGGTGGTGGCGCATGCCCTTAATTCCAGCACTCAGGATGCAGACACAGATGGATCTCTGTGAGTTCAAGGTCAGCCTGGTCTATTTAGTGAGTTCCAGGAGAGCGGGGGCTATGTGGAGAGACCTTGTCTCAAAACAAGCATACATATCAACAGGTACTGATGGCACAGTAATTCCAGCTAGTTGGAGACTGGGCAAGAGAACCTCAAATTCAAGGGCCGCTTGGACTAGACTGAGCTCAAGTTAGCTTGGGTAATTTAGTGAGACCCTATCTGGAATGTAAAGAAAAGAGAAAACTGTGAAAAACCCAGGGCAACCGGCTTGGCTCCCTCTAAGCAAGGCTCTGTTTGTCAGTTTTCTAGGGAAGCTAAGAGTGCTTCGGGGATGTGGAATGGGGTGCAGAGTGTGGAAGAGGGTACCGGGCAACACCTACCACTCCTCCAGGACCCCCCACCCCACGATCGGGCTCCAGCCTCCAACTCAGGCCATGCTCATCAGAACTGAAGCCCTGCCGTCACCCAGAGATGTTACAAGCCATCTAATAGCGTGGCTCTGCCACATGACACGCCATTCAAGCATGACCAAGAAGGTTGCCTACCCACAACATCCACTTTTCTTCCAAAACAGTTCTGGGAAATATACCTTTCCCAAATTTCCTGCTCCATTTCCAGGTACATCTTAGCCAATGGCTGACCTGCCAGGCTGCTGTGAATCTGAACCTGGGTTTGTAACACTCACTGTCCCTCCTGAGCCCTCACCCCCTCCACCAAAAGTGTGCACACCAGAACTGCCTCTGAAGATGCCGTGACTCCCCAACCAGATGTTAAGCTTGCTGCAGAGACATCGTGTGGACACACGGAAGAGTTACATCTGGGATGATCTGACCAGTGAGTGAGAACTAGCCTTCAGGCGGAGGTGTATCCCACCAGAAACAAATGATAGTGATTGGCTGAGTGAAGGAAGACAAATGCAGGGTCTCTTTGACCTCTGGAGTAGGGGTCAGCTCAGTGCCTTACCTGTCTTCTGTTTTGGAATCACAGGGCCCAGCCACAGCAGGAGGAGAAAGAGCGGCCACATGGCTTCAGGCTCAGCCGAAGAAGTGCTTCAGCGATCAAGGCCCAGCTTCAAAAGCCACCCACTAGAGAGAGCTCGACAGGTGTCGGCACACAGAGGAGGAGCCAGGCGACACCTGGTAATTGGCAAAGGGGTGGCACCATGGCTCAGGTAGTCCAGCTGCTTAGCTGACCTAAACAGAGGTCATTTTCACATCTATGACAACTCTGGGAAGAATCTGAAATACCAAGTGCAGAGATGCAGGACACTGAGGCCTGGGAAGACAAGGAATACTGTGGGTTCACACAGCTTACTATGAAGAGCTGAGGTGAGGGAGCCGGTCCCCCAGCTCCCAGTCCAGCTCTATTCCAGTCAAAATGAGGGCAATAGTTAGTAAAGAAGTCCTGCAAAGACATCACTGAGTGAAGCATCTCTGCTCCCTTGCTGAGTTGGCAGCGAGAGGCCCTCAGCCTGTTCTAACACAGCCTCAAAGGGCTGAGGTAAAGTCATGCCAAGGTTAAGAGATAAAGAGTTTTTCCCTTGGCCAGGCAGTGGTGGCGCACGCCTTTAATCCCAGCATTCTGGAGGCAGAGGCAGGAGGATCTCTGTGAGTTCAAGACCAGCCTGGTCTACAGAGTGAGTTCCAGAACAGCCAGGGCTACACAGAGAAACTGTGCCTTGAAAACCAGAGACAGAGACAGTTTTCCCCCTAGTTGGTAGTTAAAAATAATACAAAGAATTGACTGCTGGGCATTTGGAAAATGACTAACTATGACTTGAAACTGGTTATGTCTTTGGCCCAAGAATGTTCTGATTAATCTCAGAATGTAGCAGAAGATCTACTTTAAGAGGGACGGTGGGAATCCACTACAGCAAATAGCCACTCCTAACCCCAACCTGTTAGCTTCCTCTGGTGAGAAGACCCACCCTAATCTGGGCCACACCTTCTGGTAGCAGACCACATAAAAGGCCCTGGAAGAAGGATGATTTTGCTTTTTTGCCTGCCTGTCCTCACTCTTGCTGGCAAGTTCATCTATCCTGCTGCTGAGGCATTCTTTTGATGGTTGTAGGACCCACTTCTTAGGGATTTCAATACAGAGTGAAGACCAGCTGAGGCATCCAGCCTTATGGATGGGACAACTACCATATTTTTGACCTTTCCATCAGGAGACAGCCAATGTTGGACTAGCCAGACCAACAGCCTGAAATCATTCTAGTAACACCTCCCCTATTTGGGGGGGTTTTTCGAGACAGGGTTTCTCTGTGGCTTTGGAGGCTGTCCTGAAACTAGCTCTTGTAGACCAGGCTGGTCTCAAACTCACAGTTATCTACCTGCCTCTGCCTCCCGAGTGCTAGGATTAAAGGTGTGTGCCACCAACGCCCAGCCAATAAATCCCCTTTTAATATACATAAATTCTATCAGTTCTGTTTCTCTACAGAACCCTAATACAGCTCCCCTTTCTCCTCTTTGTGTCTTTAACATTTTTATTTATGCTTTATAGAAATTAATTTTAGTTATGGTTACTGTACACACACACACACACACACACACACACACACACACACACACACCACCACATGCATTTGGAAGTCAAGAGACTAGTTCTGAGAATCATTTTTCTCCTTCCACCATGGGTTCTGAGGGTCAGACTCGGGTTGTCAGGCTTTCAGAGCAAGCTCTTTACCTCTGAGGGTTCTCACCTGCCCCTTCCTAACCTTACTGGGTTTTCATGTTCAGGGTTGTGGCAACAACAGTCATGAGGTAACAAACACAAGGATGAAGCAAATGGCAACATTGTTGAGCCTGACCCAGCAGAGGCATGGAAGGAGCCTGGGTCCCAAAGAAATTGCGATGCAACTGAACCAGAGTTATCAATTGAAGTGTCTTCCTTGGGTCTCCTGCAATGACAGAGAATCAAACTTATATTTGTCTGGCATCTTGTTCCTTGGGGTTTCTGTGATGTGTAGATGAAAACATGGTGGTATAGTAATAATCTTTAGAAGTGTTGAGGCCATGGGCTAGAGAGATGGCTCAGTGGTTAAGAGCATTGACTGTTCTTCCAGGGTCCTGAGTTCAATTCTCCAGCAACCACATGGTGCATGGTGGTTCAAAAACCATCTATAATGGGATCTGATGCCCTCTTCTGGCATACAGGCATACATGCAAACAGAACACTTACACATACACACACACACACTACACAATAAATAAATTTTTAAAGTGCAACTGGCTCTCGGGGAGTCAATAGCCAAGACTGCAATGATTTAGTGGTATCTGTTCTCTAAAGTAAATGCATAAACAAACAAATAAATAGAAGAGATTTATCTTCTCACAGCCCCAGAGGTCAGAAGTCATACAGCAGGTGTCAGCAGGCCTCACTTCGTGATTCTAAATTTATTTGTTTTTAGAAACACGTTCCTTGAGATTTTCTACATAATCATGTCAACTGCAAAGGGAGATCCATCTTGCTTCCTTTTCCTACCTTATTGGAGTGGATAGAACTTGTTTCACTGTGTTGAATTAGAGTGTCGAGAGCGGACACCCTTCCCTAATTCCCAATACTAGGAAGAAAGCTTGCAAATTAAGGACAATGTCAGCGGCAGGCATGGTATTCATGTTTCAGTGAGTGAGCTCAGCATTGAGAGAAATTACTTGACACTGGCGTCCTCAGGGGCCTTGGGTTGTGGAGATTTGCAGGGAGGAAGATTTTTGTTTGCTTCTATGGGTGTCATCGTGCTGACTTCAATGTGGGGTTTTCAAATAGTAGAAGCAAAGACTTAGGGGTTGACTTGACTATCTCTTCACCCATCTGGCAGGGGATGCCACCCTTGAGAGGAGCTCAAAACCCCAGTGGGGGGAATAGAGAGAAAGCAAGTCCAGTATAACACAGGAATGCCAGCAGATGGCACCACCAGCCCAGGAGAAGACAGTGTCCTTTCTCTCCAGGGAGCCTGCTATAAGGGAACAGTGTTGGTCTGCTTCAAACATTGCAGAGGTGTTCAGGAAGGTCCACACTGAGAAGAGTCAGTGTAACCCCTCCAGATGTCACAGGGATCCTCAGGTCAGTGAATTTCCAGTGAAGAGGAAGTAGGAAGGAAGTAGCATTTGGCATCAGTTCAGAAGTTGGCAAAAAATATGGTCATTGTTTTAGAGGAGTTAGGGCATAAAGAGGAAATAACTGGAAGGGAAATAGGCTTAAGAGAGGCTGTAATTTTAAAATATTATTTATTCAGTTTTTTTTCGTGTGTGTGTGTGTGTGTGTGTGTGTGTGTGTGTGTGTGTACGTCTGGTGCCTGAAAAATGTATGTATGGTGGGATTAAAAAGCTATGCATGCAGGATCTGTGGCTGCCAGAAGAGGGAGTTAGATCACTCAGAACTGGAGTTAGAAGCAACTGTGAACTACCATGTATCTGTGCTGTGAACTGAACCAGGTCCTCTTAGAGAGTCATGAATGCTCTTAACTGCTAAACCATCTCTCTGGCCCAAGGCTGGATTTTTAAAATGGGAAAGCCTGTCAATACTTTATCAGTGTGCCTCTACTCTCCTGTAAAAAGCTAAACATGAGCCGGGCGTTGGTGACGCACACCTTTAATCCCAGCACTCAGGAGGCAGAGGCAGGCGGATCTCTATGAGTTGGAGGCCAGCCTGGTCTCCAGAGCAAGTGCCAGGATAGGCGCCAAAGCTACACAGAGAAACCCTGTCTCAAAAAATAAATAAATAAATAAATAAATAAAATAAATAAATAAATAAAATAAAAACAATAAATAAACATGTAAGAAATGGCCACAACTGATAGAGCCACATTCTCCCAGAACATCGGTTCATTTTCTGTGCATATTGGGTCTGTGGAATATTTTTTGTTTGATTTATCATTTTTTGAAACAGGGTCTGGCTATGTAGCCTGTGCTGGCCTGGAACTCAGAATCTTGCCTCAGCCTTTGGAGGGCTAAAATTACAGCCTGTGCAACCACATCCAGCTGGGTGGAATGTTTTCCTCTTTTTTATATTTGTTCATTTTAATTTTTGGTGTTTTGAGACAGGGTTTCTCTGTGTAGCTCTGGCTGTCCCAGAACTAGCTCTGTAGACCAGGCTGGTCTTGAACTCACAGAGATCCGCCTGCCTCTGACTCCCGAGTGCTGGGATTAAAGGCGTGCACCACCACCACCTGGCTTGGAATTATTTCAAAATTGCCACCTGCTCTTCTGAAAACGATTCAGCTCTTTAGCACACCCCACAGAGCGTTCTGCATTCTGGTCCCTGCAATTTAGCCACAGGACAGAAAACTACAGGTGTGGGCTGGCACAAACTGAGCTCTAGGGACAGGATGAGGAAGGAGTCTCACTGAATGCTCCCTTTTCTCTGTGACAAGGGGTAATGCTGTGAGGGAAGCGACAGAATCCCAGGGGTGTCGAGAAGGAAGCCTCTGGGGTGGTCCCTGTTAAGAACGGGATAGGACACAGCACTCAGGAGGGAGAGGCAGGTAAGTTTGAGGCCAGCCTGATCTGTTCCAGGATATCTAGGGCTCCACAGAGAAACCCTGTCTTGGAAAAAGAGAAAAGAAAAAAAGAAGGAAGGAAAAGAAAGGAAAGAAGGAAGAGAGAGAGAGAGAGAGAGAGAGAGAGAGAGAGAGAAAGTGGGCCCTGGAACGACTGCTCAGCAGTTAAGACTGCTTTAGGCTTCTGTAGGTTATGGGCACCCACATTGGTGACTCAAAACTACTCCTAACTATAGCTCCTGGGGATGGTGATGCTATGCCTCTGGCCTTGGTTAGCATGCAGTGCACATATTGATCCCCAACCCCCAACACACAACGCACACATACACATACTTTAAAATAATAAAAGAAATCTTTTAAAAGAGAAAAATGGAAAAGTGAGGAGCGTTCTCCAGACAGTATTGCTTTGGCCTGTAACCTACCAGACCATGGAGAGGTCAAGACTTAACAGTAGCCTAATTTCCACCTGTGTGCATCCTTTCACTCTCAGGGCTCCTGAGAGTGAAACCAGGAGGCCCCAGCAATTA